TTATACGTTAAAATAGATTAGAATAGATGGGAATGAAATGAACACTGATAAAATAAATTATATAAACAAAAGCAATGAAAAGATAAATTAGCATCTGCTAGAATAGAGCACAATTATAAGACGTATCCAGCTTAATTGTTGAGTTTACTTTCATTCCGAGTGAAGGTGTTTGGTGAAGAGATTCGAAGGTGGATCCCACCAGAAGAGACCTCCAGTCAATTCTTCTCAACCAAATGTCGATTGGCTTTACTGGAACATTTTTGTTGATGCTGCTTCACCTTCGATTTCGGTGAAAACGTGCTAAACTTTTGTCCATCGTATGACGGACATCAAAGCAATATTCAAGCTAATAGGTCAAGAAAATTGGCTGGCTTAGCTCCCTAAATGCTTTATCTACACACTACAACTAATCTGTTTGATGAGATATAGAGTGATTTGATTAGTTCGCCTTACGTGTCAATCTCAAAGCATGTGCTTATGCCTGTTTGTGTTTTTTTATGTGCCTTTATGTGTTAATTTATGTAAGAAACCAGCAGTGATGGCTCTTAGTAATTATAACAGGTAAATAACTCCTCTTATCGGCCGTCAATGTTTGCTAACCACCATCACACCCTTTATGTATACTTTAATCATCACTCCGATTATTCCAGTAAACCAACTCGACAGCTGATCAAAAAGAATCTGACGTCGAGAAAACTCACCGGAAAATCCCTAAAAAGCGGTACATGTAGGCCAGATATAAAGTTAGCTTAAATTTGGTTGTGACGATGATACCTTGCTCTGAGGATGTTCGTAACATGACGGACGAAAGCTTAGCACCTTTTCACCGGAATCGAAGGAGATTGCCTCAGAAACAGCGTCAGAATGAATCTTCTAGTAAAGTCATTCGACAGCTGATCAAGATTAATTTGCCATCGTATTCTGGCGGAATCGACCTTCGAATCTCTTCACCAAATACTTTCACCCGAAATGGAAGTAAACACGAATATTATGAAACACGAGATTCCTCGAAACCCAACTTTCCTTCTCATATAAAATAGACCTAATGAACAGAGGATTTGAGAGGATTAGCGAACATTTTGCATATTGTCTAAGCAAACTCGGAGAAGATCAGAGAACAGGAATATCAGCAGAAAGAAGACGACTGAATAAAATGAATACTTTTAATTTTAGGAAAGGAAATCGCTTGGGGACCACCAAGAAACATTCAGAAGCCATGAGCAGACGTCTTCAGTGAGCCTAATCAGAGCAAGTAGAACCACAACATTTGTTGATTGGCACAAAAGAGACTGTGGCCTAGGAAGTTATAGATTTGGTATTAGGGATAGAGACCGGATAAACGCGGCTGATGGTAGACCTGTTTTAAGATAGACGTGGTCCGTGCAGCAAAGGTTTAAGCATGACAATTACTCGCGGTCTTTAGCCTCAAGTTAGTCTCCCAGACGCCGAGT